GATGGTATCGAATACTGTTGGCTTTGGCTAGAATAACAGAGTGCTAGAGGGATAAAATTACAACCGTTATTTCAACTCCTCGATAAGGTAAATAAACTCTGCATTTTTCCCACGATTTTCATCCAAAATACAAAACTCCCTTGTTTATATTTCCGAGAGCATTAATAACGCCCTCATTCTGTTCGAATATATTAGTTAGTTAATCGATTTATGTTTACTCGTTAAAACGTAATTATTCCGTGTTTATCCGTGTCGTTTTCAATTGCTATTGTCATCCAATTTTATGAACGAAAAAAAAATAACAAATGAAACATTGATGAATGAATAAATAAACTCGTTCGATAAATTCCCCTTGACAACCAGGTCAGCTGGAGTATTCCTCCCCCGGACAAAATACTTGGTTACGACTGGGTCTCCCTCGCACTCTCGAAAGATTTATTTTTCGAAAATTCAACTGTGCTCGTTGTGCACGAACCCACTGTAGGTTTGAATCGTCATTCCACCGAAATTTCCAGATTTCGGTCGGATTGACCTAGCTCCGACGACGGATTTCTCCATTGCATCATCAAGCCTGTATTTGCGCCTTTTTTATCCCCCTCCGCGGTTTTGCCGATAGCCCATTCAGCCACTGCACTCGCCATCTTTAATACAGCCCGACTCTTCGGGTAAGCATAGACTCAGCACTTACTCCATTTTTGGAACGATATCACGTTTCTTGTGGGAACATATTGGGGAGTGAAGAGGTTGACGAACTGTTTTTTTTCGAGTGGGAGGAAGGTGATCTTTATGTGACCCTTAAGTGCTTTTTGACCCTTATGAATGTGGGATACATATCACTCAAAACATAATACCTTATTTGACCGTATTTTAGAATTCTAAAATTTCAAAAGTCTTAAAATGAGATTTTCCAAAGTCTTAATTTGAAGCTTGAAAGTCTTAAGGATGGACAAACAAGTTGAAAATAAAAATAAAATTGACTACATAAATCATTCATGTTACAAATAATTTTTCTCATCAAATTAGAAGTGTTATGGCGTACTTTTTCGGTCTTGAGAACAAAAATTAAAGAAAATGTTCATAAGCAATGGAGGACTTGTGACTGCAGTGGTAACAGTCGAATTTTGATCGGGCAATTTCGCACGCTTCGGCTAGTAGTGGGGTTGCAACAGTGAGAGAAAGATGTGTGTGTGTTATACGTGTCCATATGCTTCCAGCACTGAATTATCATCACCGACTTTACCGAGCTCGATCAGTTGTGGTGCGGTGTTGTCGCGTTGCTCGACTCGTAATGGTGGTCAATTTTTCTTGGAGGAATTCGAAAATCAATTGAAGATATCACGCCTATATAACCCGGTCTCCTACTTCTACCTTCTCGCCGGCGATAGATTCTCCATAGTCCAAAGTAAATGGTTTACTTTAATATTTCAATTCAAACCGTCTGAAAACCTCAATGTGAGACTCTTGGAAGTCTCACATTTGCAACATTTGAAAATCTCAAATTGATCATAAGAGTCAAAATGGAGCTGACCCTCACGACATTCTGACTCTCCATCCATCGCTAGATCACCTTTAAAATCCACAAACAGTCCTCCCCAGAAGCTCCAATATTTGGCTTGCAAGAAACCATCAGCTTCATCGAAGGAAAGAGTTAACTCGAAGAACAGTCCAACATCACAAGAGTCAACTTCCATCAACTCACTCTGACTCCATGTAAATACATATCTGCAATCTCCAGCAAATACTTGAGAAGAAAGTTGTGTTGTATAGAAATTTCGGGAGTCTGTCAGACTTCGTCCATATATCCAAGAGAATGCTATTCCATCGACGAACTCTCTTCTCTCTCTCTCTCGCTCTCTACGAAGGTAAATAAAGGTGAAGGCTAACAGTACGACGCGAAAGTGTTGTCCCAAATCTGGAGACGCTGAGTTTACCCAAGTAAACGATTTTAGCCACCTAAGGGAAATCCTCACGGAGGTACCGGGGAACAATGAGGGTCACGTAGTCTTTACACTGACCAGGCGTTCACCATTGTTTCCGACAAACGATCCTCGTCCTAATCGATCATCATCAAATTCACTGCAGTTTCCAACTTGATGAATTGAGAGAATAATATTATTTTATTGGGAATAAATTGTGACAATAAGAGTTTGATCGTCGATTGAAATTGAATGAGACTAAGTATTTAGAACAAGAGTAGGAAGGACGGAGCATTCAAGCTGTTCACTTTAACTTTGTTGAGACTTTACAAAGTCTGAAGTTGAATATCCGGCCATAATACAGTCATACATATATATACACGTTATGAAGGAGGGATGCTATATGTTATCCTTTCACCTTCAAAAAGGATAAACCCAGTCTTCAAAGAGGAAAGGATACCATATAGCATTCCTCCTTCATGACGTGTATATATATGTATGACCGTATTATGACCAAATAATCAATTAAGTAAGAAATGAAACAGTTGAATAGAAAGTTGAATCTCAAGTTGAAACGTTAACAAGTCTCATGTTGAGACTCTACATAGTCTCAAGTTGAGGCTTTACAAAGTCTTAAGTGGAGACTTTAAAAACTCTTAACTTGAGACTTTTCAAGTATCAATTTGGGATGTTTTTGAAATCTCAAAATGAGACGTTAAAAAGTCTTAAGTTGATATTTAAAAAATCTCGAATTAGGACTTTACGAAGTCTCAAGTAGAGACTTTATAGTCTTCACTAGAGACTTTTAAAGTATGAACTTCAGACATTTGTAAAATCTCAAAAGGAGACTTCAAAAGCCTCAAGTTGATATTTTATAAAGTCTCACGAAAGGCTTTCAAAACTCAACTTACAGAATTATTTTAAATGGCGACCCAACCAAAAGTCTCAGCTTAAGGGACTCAAAAGTCTGAAATTGAAAGCTTCAAAAATCTCAACTTAAGACTTTCAACCTTCAAATTAAGACTGGAAAATCTTGCTTCAAGACCATTCACATCTTAAAATGAGGTATCATTTGTTTTGTGCTTTCCTCGCAACCCATTACGGATTCCACTGCGCTTGGAGATGGAGTATTTCAGCACGTATTCGCACGTTGTTCTCTTGATGGATCATTACACTACGAAAAAAATCAATGCTACCAAAGAAATTTTATTCAGACAAGAATTCCCATCCAGATTTTGTCTGAAAATTTCGAGCATTTGCACATTTATCAAGTTAACCGAATTGGGGCAAAATGCGATGTTCATGAGCGGCAAGAACGCTCAAATATTTGACCGACATCGAAAACATTCCATATTAGGAAAGAATTCCAGTTGAATACGAGCACTCGCTTCGACACAAACTATTGACAAACAATTGATTGAACATCAGTTTGACAGGTTTCGGTATTTCACATGTCACTGAAATACACGTCTGATATTGATCAAAGGGGGACATTTTACACTCAGCCATAATGCAGCCGCGAAACGGAATGCTAAACTACATCAAGCAATGCGGTCTTTTTGAGCATCTACTTCACTCGATACAAGTATTATCGGAGATTCACTCGAATTGATCGGGACTTCGTTACATCCAGACCCAATACTTTCTGATGGTCTCTATTTCGGGTCGAAGCAAAAAATACGGTTTCTCCTCCAAGGACCGAGACCAAAGTCGAATGTCCTTAAGGTCTGATGATGCCTTCTGCTGATTTAATTTGTTGAGAATAGAACTAGATGGATACTAGGCTGATTCCAATGAATTTCAGAAAAGAAAGTTATTTGCCAATTTACTAATCCAATTCAATTTGAGAAGTCTTTTAAACTGAGACAGGCCTTTTGATTTTAAATGAATAATTCGATTAACTTAATAAATTTGAATAGAAAATATAAATTATAAATAAATAAATAAGATAAATAAATGAAATGTAAATTAATATTCGACGAATAAATGCAAATAATTCCCTAGAGCAGCTCACGAGATCCCCGAGAACAGGGGAAATTGTGTCGACGCGAAGGGAAAAACAATATTTGCAGTCATAAAACATTTCAATACATCGAAATAATATACGGAAGGTCCCTTATATGCAAGAAAAGACACTATTCTCGATTTAAGGATGCAGTATCCCTACACAAACACGCCCGATAGCTATCTACTATTAATTCGATAGGTTACCACGCACAGTATCGACTTAAGCGAATTACCATATGGGAAGAAACGCGAAGGTAGATCGATTTTGTGAACATTTTCCACCAGTAGTTCAATAATTCCGCGATCACGAAGAAATTTAGATTTTTCTTAAAGGGAGGGAAACCCCCTTTAAGACTGGACCACTCGGGACGAGGAGCGATAAACGACTGATTTAATTTATGATTTTAATTATGGAATTGAGCGATGACCCACTAAATTGTGTGGTGCAACGCTTGGATTTTTCGCTGATCAATTAGCAACAGCATGGGCTGTGCTGTCTCCGATTTCGTCAACTTTACGGGTGGCAAATGTATGTTGAGGGTATAAAATTGGGAAATGACGACTAAAGTCGGTCATTTCTCAATTTCATAATACGAATGTTATAACAATGACGAATTTCCAATAAAGTGATTGAAAAATTATTTTTGGACATTATAGATGCTTCTATGGCCATGCAAGCAGTTTTTAAAATTTTTGAATTTTATTTTATTTATTTTTTTTAAGGCCTTTCGAGTCCCCTTTTTTTGGGTCTCATTTCGGCACTCTATCCAACCCTATGCATGCGGCTGTGAATTCTACACTGCACCGCATTCGCCCTTCTATAGAACATAGGAGTAGCATGGGAAACCACAGGAAACCCATGCCGGTACAGGCGGTTACTCTATTAGCAACCTCCCGCTCGCCGGTGCCTTTCGTTGAAAAATTTGGTTCCACGGGGAATCGAACTCACAACCTTTCGCACACTAAACTTGCGTCTAGCCCACTCGGCCACCGACGTCGGGGAAGAATTTTATTTTAATATATTTATTTATATATTTATTTTATATATTTATTTTATATATTTATTTTATTACTTACGTTTTGAAATAAAATTCGGATCAGAACACTGAGATAACAGGAGTAAGTAATTCCTTCGCTAAAAGTACAACTGGAAGTGAAGTGCTGGACATGTGTTTTTCCTTTTATAGGTTAAAGATATAGGGCTGCTGGTGTTCAGATCAGATATAGTCGTCTCTGGACTGGATTTTTCTACGAGTATTAGCATTATTTTCTCATTTTAGTTGATGGTCAGTGAGTCGCGATCGGAAGGTGATCACGTGAAACGATCATGAGAGAGAATAAAAAAGACAAAAAATATATCATCGCGAACGCAGTTTCACGTGTTGCACTTGATACCCAGGTGCGTATCTTCTCATCTAAAAATAAACTCACACGTTCCTAGAAAAACTCGAGAACTATGAATCTGAAAAACTATTCTTTCTGTGAATTTTCTGTGAAAATTTCACAGAAATCCCCCGAAATTTTACCAGAAATAGCGAGAATTTTTACCTTAGCACTAGAATTTTTTACAGCCGATGAATTGTGATTTTTTCCAGTACTCGCACTAGAATTTTTCTAGAAAATTTTTCTCCATTAATAAAAAAATTAATAAATCCAAAAAATTTCCTGTCACGAGATTGAACATTTGACACACGATTTCACTGATTGCAATTAAATCGCCATTGTGAAACGTTAAAAAACGGAGTTTCCCGCGCTCTTCATTTGACTAGCGGCCTTTTACAACCAAATGTTTGACTATCAGAATACATATGTTGTGCCAAACCCGCCTACTGAGCATTATCAAACAGTAAAAACAATGGGTGAAGTGTACTGCATTGGTTTTCTGTGAAAATTCATTATTTTAATTGGCATTTTTTTCCCATCTCGTCCATTCGCAAACATTCCCCGATGGAGATTTGTATCAAATGAATTTTTTAATGCAGTACTGTCGAGAATGCGATTCAACAATAAAATTTCAGTGTTTAAAGAATGATTGGTATTCTCGATCGGTTGATTTGCTTGTGAAATTCCCTGTTGGTATTCAATAATTGCGGTTGAATTTCGGTGAAAAATTCATTGGAAATCAGTGAAAATTTGAATTTCAAGTCGATTGGGAATTTCAAGACACGAAAGCCCCAATTATTCAGCCGGAAATGCTCATGCCACTTTTATCATTAAATCCCCCATAATTCTTGATTACCGAAATGCATTAATGAATGCTCGACAGGTACAGTGTAGCATTAGAGGTTTGATTAGGGAAATCCATTAATGGATACCACAATGCAAAGTTATGCTGTATTAATAACGAATTACTCCGCCGATAATTGGATGGCCTTTTTCATTTGGTAACGGTCGCAACTCTCAGCCAACAGGGTTAGTGTATTAATTTTATTCGATGGGATTCGTACTTATCTTGGGACAAATTGTGGTCTATCGGTTTTAATGAAATCCACTCAATTATTCTCTTTATAGTCAAAGGATAATTAGGTGAAGAGGGCTATTGTATGTTCTTCCACAATTAGCCCATATTTCACGTTATCTCTAGATAATTAAATTGAAATGTATTCTAGGTTTCTGGAAATTGGGCCATCGAATTTTTTAATAGAAGTCGCGGGTAGATTTGTGGGTTTAAAATGTCTCTAATAATTCCATTGAATTTTTATTGAAAATCCTATTGATTTTTTCTATTTATAGCATTCAAACCATTCGGTTTATTCGGCTAAAAAAAAGAGTTACAAAAATGCAGAAATATATATAATATATAACATATTTGCATCGTCATTTTCGTACATACATGTTTACATCGTCATTTCACGAGTTCTTAATTATAATAATTTACATGAAGCGTTTGAATGTTCAATTCAGAGGATGTCACGAAGGAATCAATATGTAAGAGAGCCGGAATTAATTATATGAATAAGTATTCAACATGATAAACTGGTACCTGGGTTTAAGAGAGATAGAGATTTTCCTATTCTAAAAAGAACATACACTTAAAGTCGATAACTATCGATATCTCGCAAGTCTGTTACGCTTATTCCTCATTGGTGCCAGTCGTCTGAAGCGGCAAATTTAATTCATGATCGATTTAATTTTGAGATTTTCAATTATGATTGTTACAATTATAGTTATATAAAAAGCTCATGACGGTATTGTGTAACTTGATAAGCAATGATGTTGTTCTCGCGATTTTTCAACTTGATAAAGAAGGCATTGAAATATACTTTTCAAGCCCTGATTTAATCGCGATTACTGATGATTCTTTCAGTAATCATGAAAAACCCGATTTTCTCTTTCAAATCGTATAAACGATATGCTGTAACGCAACAACTAATTGTGCGACCCCTTCATATTCTGATAGAATCAAGAGCGTATTATTATCAATTTTTTGAGTCAGGACTAATTCCATTTTGATGCTAATTTTCTAAGTGTTCCTTGAAAAACCGATTTTTGGGAAAATAGCAATTTTTTCGAATCTATGAAAAATTGAATTTCAATTGGTGTCAATGAATAAAGCTTATTAAAGTCTGCATTCATGAAAAAATGCATGAAATTCGATGGATCCTCATCCAACAGTGAGTTTTCGAGAAATTCATGAGACGTTTCTCGAAGAAAAATTTTCAAAGATATCCTTAACAACAATTTCCGAAATATATAAGAAGAAGATATCATCAAATATAATAAAAAGTAATCTGACGTAAAGCGTCATGGTGAATCCTTCGTGAGAATTTCACTGAGCACCATCTGCAACTAGCCAACGCCAGTCTCACCTGGCATCAGGCTTCTCAAGCCCCGAGGATGGAAAGACCGTCTCTGGGGTACATAATTCATGAGAATATTTGAATAGTGTTTTACACTGCTTACCACTTGTCCCTTCTGGGTACTTCACCACTTTGTTAACAAGAATCATAAGTACGTACTAATGCTCTTACTACTAATGCATCGCCGCTATTGTTTTGATCTTGCTGAGTAATAACACAACTGTCACTTTTCGAGACAGCATTGTGAATTAATTCGTGAATTACACTTGTCCCGGTTGGAAACCTCGCACCCTTTCTTTTCTAAAAAAAAAATATGAGTAATTTCTCGAATCGACAATAAGAACTCGAGCGTGGCGCATATCTCGAAGGAATGGAGAAATTAAGGCGATTTTCATGCGCACAATCGTCTTGAGTCGTATTTTCATGAAGCTCGCCTAACAAACAAGAGAACTGAATACCATTCTATGAAACGTGAATAAACGAATCATAATTATCCAAATCATTTAGGTCAGAGGAAAATAGAATAATTCTACTTTCTTAGTATTGCGTTTACTAAAGTTCTCTGCGAATAAAGTTGATTAGAATTTTTATCACCAGAAGTCAATTTGGATTTTTATAATATAGACACATTATGAGATTACCTCACATTTTTGACATTAAAGATAAGAGAATCAGAATGCGATAAAGTGAAAATGATGATCGATTTTTTTACTACGATGAATCGTATACGATTCTCATGAGAGTGACTATAAACAATTAATTGAACAATGGAAAATTCAATCCGATAGGAATAAGGGCATCATGAAAAGCCATCAACACTTTGGCGCTGGTTTAAGAAAATGTTCAAGAGAATTCTCTTTTCCTGAGAACTCAATCTTGATGATAACTACGAGAGCTCATCACGGTTTTTCTCGTCATCTCCTTTTTTTTACCTCATTTCTTTTTTTCTACATAAATTTGGTTGAACGAGTGAGCGAGCGAGCCCAGATGATAAATTTCCGAGGACTATAGATTCATTATCATAATTGCAATTAAAAGTTGTTAAATTTGAATATCAATTGTCGACGGGAGAATGGGCGTTACGCTTGGTCTCACGCTGAGTTCATGAAAATGCATTGGCTGCCTTCATCTGAATATCATAACACCTACCCTTCTGTCAATTTAATTGTTTTTATATTCGGTAATGATGGATAACTTTTTGGTGGAAAATTAGGAGAATAATATGAATTTTTCGTTGGTGATGAACCTGATTGTTCTTAGATAATTTGACTTTCAAATGATCTTCATATGGCAATCATGAGTGTGATTTTTATTAGCCTAACCCTTGAGGCCCTTACGACCCTTATGGATCATACAAATTTATAATATAAAGAAATTTTTATGAATATTGATGTACAATCTGATCCTTATCACCTTGGTATGACCTATTTTATATTTTATGATTTTCGTATGACCTCCATATGACCTTTATGAACCAGACCCGACCCTCATGATCTTCCTGACCTTATGAGCCTTCTGGCGTTTAATTTTTATCGGAGTTGAACAAGAGCCAGAATACGAATGCAAAGGGTCAAACGAGGATAAGGGGCGGGCTCATAAGGGCCAGAATTCATTTATTCGAATGGATCATGAGGATTATAAGGGTCACAATCCTGTTCATTCCACATGCTCATAAGGGTCATAATCTTATACATCCGAGATTCATAAGCATGACCCTCATGAGGGCCCTGACCTTTATCAGTCTCCAGGCCCTTATGAATGTTGGATATATGATATTGTGGCCCTTATGACTTCCATATGACCTTCTATAATCTCCACATGATCCTCATGGGTCTTCCAACCCTTATCAGACCCTTGTGGCGTTTGACCTTCATCTAATTATAAAATACAGAGAAAAGATTGAACAGGGATTTTCATTCACAATATCAACATTAGAATTGAGAGGTCTTTAAAATCCACGTACCCCAGTTTTCAACCCTAAATAATCAAAAATGCATCTAAAAAATTAGGTTTACCCTCCATCAAAGCAGAATAGATAATCCAGCATGTGAAAGCTTGATTCTACAGGAATCACGAGGAAGGAAAATACATAAATGATGAAGAAAACTTCACGACGTTCGACCTACATTCGCCAGGGGGGGTTGAAGGAAAATCGAAGCTGACTCAGCCACCCACTTGGCGTGGTCCAATAATGTCTCATCCGACAATTTTGCCTTCACTCTATATCGCTAATAATTTTCCGCATCGATTGCCATTCATGACGTTAATTATTATTTATCGCGGTCGTGAATTCAGATTTTTCTTCTTTTGTATTATAGCTGATATCTTAAACTTTTAGAGTCCCATGAGGAGGCTAATGGGTTCTCCTATATATGA